CTCTGGTGAATTCAATGTGGGTTACTGTCGTGATCCGGAGTGAAAACTACCAACACCACCATCAATGTATACAACATACAGGATCTTTAATGTGTATAGGGCGAATATTACTGACAAGGTAGAGGACCCTTCACTCTTTAATGACCCTGCTAGGATATTCAATGCCAACGAATCTGGTTTTTCACATGTCCTCGGTTTGGAAAAGTCAAAGAAGGATGTACTGATGTGTACAACTTTACGTCGTCCTATAAAACGCCAATCACTGCTAGGGTATAACTGGGCATTATCTTCCTCCGATGATTTTTCCGAATCAAGGTTTCATCAAAATCCTCTTGAAAGTTTCCTTTATTGAAGCCCTTTAAGGAGAATGAACTCTGGGTTGTTTTATTTGTGGAATAAAAAACTTTTTATGTCAGGTGTTGTGTCTCTGGGAGGAGTTATGGAAACTATTGTTCTTTACCTTGAAGGGCAGCATACGCATCTGAACTTTCCTGTCAGTGATTTTTTCGAAGCAACAGCTTTTAATGTGTCACTTATACCGACATTCGGATGTACCACCTGCTACTGATAATAGAAATACCCAACACAAAAGAACTATTCCCAGTCTGTCAGCTGAGGTAAGCGACGCCAAATTTTCACAATCATTTCATTCTATCTTAAAATACGTACCTGTCTCCATAGAAAAAAGCCTCCACAAAATAGACCAGGTTAATAATGCCGATGGCTATAACCGGTACAATATTCTATTAATTAATGCAACAGAAGAAAACAAAACACAGAGATTGAACAGGCAAAAATTCGTAGAAAAAAGAAAACAAAAGCGAAATGAAAAAGAAACAGACATAAAGAAAAAAGAACAACAAGTGCCGAAGAAAAAGTAAATGGTGAAACAAATATTGCATGCTCTTGAACACCGGACCTCATCTTCTATTGAAGAAGACAGGTTGATCTGTCAGACGCGTTAGAGGTTGTAGCTCCTATAGATCGTTCGAAGTGTTTGTACTAACTGCGCATCTCCAATTGATGATGACGGTGTGAGAAAATGGGTGTGGTGTAGACAGTGCACACGACAGGTTCGTCGGGCTTGTGTTATGCATGTTAATATAGCCTAAATGACTAATGAGCAAGTAGCAGCATTTGATTTTGAATGTGATTATTGCTAAAGGTTAAGAACGACACCAAAGTCTTGAATCTCTTGTCAATAATCTTTCTTTCTGCAATTATTCTGAAAATTGTACTTCAAGTATTATTACTATGAATAATAAAAAAAACTTGTTAATGAAATTATTTACCAATCTAACAAATTCCATAAATTTATGAATTCAAATTATTTTTAAAAACTTCAAAATGGCCAAATTGTGCCGATATTGTGTTGGGGTATTGACGGCAGATTCCGAAACAACACGACGTTGCTCCAATTGCAACTTTTCGGCCAATATACAGGAAGAGCCGATGTGTTACGTGTGTCGCCGTAGTGTTCCGGATAGACTCGATATCCATATTGTAACGATTTATGACGGAAAGTGCCGACGAGCTTCCGTCATCTTTTTAACGATGCAATATAACTCAAAATCTCATATTGCTGCTGATTTATTAATTTATTATATATGTATAGAAATAACCATACCATAAAAAAATTGGGAAACAATCTCTAAATAAATAATACACGAGTGTTATTCGATAAACAATTACTAAATAAGAATTATGAACCTGTGCAGAAATTATTGACACTGGCTACTTATAAGAAAAACATGGCATATGGAGTTCAAAGAGAAAACCGATTATGTTTCATATGTAATATGATTGCTTTTGTAAATGAATTCCATCTTTAACTCATCTGTACAAGATATATATAATTTCGTAATAAGTGTTTGGAACCATATTTTACCGATTGCAACATTAACTTTATTAAAATTGAAAATATTAATAATCTGTCGAATTATTTTTTCTTCTTCATAAAATATATTATTCTGATTTAATTGAATATTGTGATAAATTATGTATTATAAACATATTTCTAAGAACTTTTCTGATAATTATTGATTAAAACATAAGAAAATGATTGTAAAAGTGTTACACTTTACCTAGGTTATGAATTACTTCTTCTTAAATATGTAGTTGGATATCAAAAGTAATGATGACCTGCATTGAATTGCAATGATTCAACAGAATTAGTAACTACATACACCAGTATTGCTGGTAATAATTCATCTGATATAGTACACTCCAATATTTTACAAATAAACCGTCCAAGAACATGTCTTTCTGTTGGTTTCCTTTGAACAATGTTGATTATTTCGCAAACTTTTCATATTTTACAATCATTTTCTTACGTTATAATCAATAATTATCAGAGAAGCTTTTAGAAATATTTTGGCAATGCATATCACAAATCTATTTTTGGAAGCCCTGAACTTGATCTACTGACCCGTTACTCAGTCCAACGGAAGAAGACAATGCAAGTAATTTTTCCACCAAATATTAAAAACATATATCAGTAAATACAGGCTAATTGGGCAAAAGTGTAAAAATCTATTTCTAGTACTGTTGACCTTGACTTAACTGACCCAACCGACTTCTAAATTTATGTTCCTATCAAACATTAAAGACATCTGTCAATAGAAAAAGGTAAACCTGTAAACTTGTAAAAATTACTTTTAGAATCGACCCCTTACTCAATCTAAAGGAAGAAAATTACGCGATTTATCATCCTACCAAATATGACCTTAACCCAATTGGCCCCTTACTCAATCTAAAGGAAGAAAATTACGCAATTTATCATTCTACCAAATATGATAAACATCATAAAGGCTGTGTCAGTAAATGTGTAGAAACCTATTATTTGCACCCACAGACCCCTAACGCAATTCAAAGGAAAATTACCATGCACGTTATCTTCCTAACAAATATCAATGGCATCTGTTAATAAATAAAGGCTGTACGGTAAAAAGTGTAGAAATCTATCTTAAGCACGTGTGATCTTGACCTTATTGACGCCTCACTCCACTCAAAGGTAGAAGACTTCTCAATATATGTTCCTACAAAATATAAAAGACATCTGCCAATAGAAATACGTTACTCCTGTAAAAGTGTAAAAAAAGCTGTTTTGGCATTGGCAACTTGACCTTTAACAAAATGACCAATAATTCGGAGGTAAAGGACCCCCATAGGCATGTTCGTTTTTAAGCATGAAATACATAACTTTAGAAAATAATGATTGGATGAGCAAAAATGTATAAATTTACAGAATTTTAACATCAGTGACCTTGACCTTGAACCCAGTGACCCCTTACTCAACAAAATGTAAGAGGACCATGAAAGGAATCCACCTTATAACAAATATGGAAGATATCATTAAATAAATTAAGCTATGTGGATAATTAAAGATAAATCCAACTTGTTGAAATAGGTTTACCATACAAGGTACCACTTGCCCCTCAACGCTGTGGGTTCGACTCCTGACTGAGACTTTGGGTTCTTTCATGTGAGGAAGCTATCAAGCTAGCATACGGAACGTCGATGGTTCTACTCAGGTTCCCGTTCGTGCCTGAAATAATTCACGGAAGTGCACCTGAAGTCTTCCTCCACTAGTAAAGCTGGAACGTCGCCATATGACCAATACTGTGTCTGTGTGACGTAAAACCCAATCAAACAAACAAACAAACAAAACAGACATACAAGGTCTTATTTTCAAAGTGATAAAAAAGAAAATAACAGAGAGAAATGCATTGCAAAGTTATTCAACTTGGCAATACCATGTACTTTGTATTGATAAGTAAGTGTGGAAATTATGAAGCCATCAATATATGTATAGATAAAACCTAAGCAGTATCTAATTTGCCGGTTTAGGTTAACTATATCCATTTTCAAAGTGCTGAAAAGGGCAATAACTTGGTGAAATTGAAGCCATGGTTATATAACTTGCCCATATCATGTATTTTATATTGATTAATAATTGTATTAATAATGTAGACATTGGAACAGGTAGAACTTAAGAAAAATCCAACTTGCCGGTTTCAGTTAATCGACGGTTCAATTACTATATGCCAGGAATCAACAAACAAACTCAAACATAGCACAGAACAAATATCACAATTTCATGTACAAAAACAGTCTGAGAATACTATGTACACAGAATAATGCTACAAGTAATTGTTTCTGACTGTCTACTCGAGTACCTACATACTAATCTAAATATGTTGGAATTTTTCAATAGTTCCAGAACCTCTCATGTGAAATGATAACCGATTTCAGATGACGCATAAGAATATTGAAAATGTTAACGAAATTTCCTATGCGTGACTTAGATTGAATAAAGATGTAAGATAGTCAAGATTTGTATCCATTTCTGATATTTTTATCGTTTTTAGTTTTTGAAAATCACCCACAAGTATGTGTGATTTTAAATCTTTTAAGAAGGATTCTCGCAACTCTCTTGAAATTGTTTAATTATTACAACATAAAAAAGTATTTAAAAAAAGCAAATATTTTAACTTAAGGAAGCAAATATTTTAACTAAAACATCAGATATGCAATAGACGGTATTTAAACACAAAATATTGAAAATTTTTGAGTGATCAAGTTGCGTAAGTATATGAAAATATTTGTTAATCAATATAACGATGTAAAACCAAAGATTTAGTGACCAACTTCTTTTCATGACAAGGAAGTGATCACAATGGTCATTGGAATTCACGGAATTTTTGTTATACAAGTACTTGAATATATGCAAAAGTAGACAAATCAACTTTTCAGGAGTATAAACTTGGCTTGCCATGATACTGGAAAAGTCCTGTAAAAGAAATAATAACCGTGGCTTCTTTAAAATCTCACGATCTAACGAGATCTGCAAGCCATACCTGATCACACTCGTCTACAATAAGGATTGTCTTTCTGTCGGGTCAGATTTATCATGTGATACATGCAGTAAATAAAGCAAAGTATAACAGATATGAAACTAATACATTTACAGGCTCAATCAAACCGAACCTGCAACATTTTCAATTTTGCTACTTTGAACTTTCTTTAGGGTTTCTATTTCACTCTATTTTAAAGTACTTTTTAATATGGTTCTAACAGTCTTCAAATATATTCTGTTAACAGCACTATCAAATTAAGCGTCGAATGTCAAAACAAAATGTCCACAGACATGGACCGATTTTTTTGCAGAAAAACAATGTCTTTGAGCTTCAATGTGACATATATTTTTACCAAGGAGTCACTACATTTAAAAAAATAATTTTGAATTTTTTTTATAGGTTCCATACAACAAACCTTATGAAATGGGTGAACTTCTATACATAAATTATATGCTTCATAATCACCTGTCACAAACCGTTACTTTAGATCACCAACGGTAAAATAGTTGCTTTAAACGAGACTGTGTCTTTAGATACGAGAATAATGAAAGTCGATCTGCGTTTTTCTGGATTCAGTCATTGATTGATTTCCTTCTTTTATATTAATTTAGGTATGTTGACATTGTTTTACCAAATACATTGAAATAATTTATTAGATCATTTACATGAGCAAAAAGAGAGTATTCGTAAAGTATGATCATTTTGAAAAAAAATAACATTATTAAATTATGGTAATAAAGATTCATCCTTCAACAAAAGGAAATGTTTCTTTCTCTATCCAAAAAAGTTTATGTAAGCATTTGTATCCATTCCAGTTTTCTCATCAACTGCATTAACGATAATTTCCGTACCACTGAATGTCATAGAAACAAAAACCCCTCTTCCAATCTGTTCGTCGGGTTTCGGAAGGTTAAGTCTCAGTTCGCCAATTTGAAAGCATTCACTTCTATATCTGGTGTTAGGCAACTCTGTAGCAAAGATTTTAAAATGCATACGTTTTTGGAATGTTTTATTTGTAGTATATCTTTTTTTAACTTGGGGCTCATTACATTTGACTGACTGACCTTTCTGAACATGACTGTTAAAAGCTTTACACTCTATACCGTTGTCGGTCGTAACTTTTAAGTGTTCAGGATCAACACCTTCCTTGAACTGTAATCGACATCCAACACCGTACGTATACTTCAACACTCGCTCTCTTATAGATATTGGACTATGTCCATAAACAAGAGCTCCTCTCATAACAGTGGAAGAAGCACCAATTGGTATCACAACATTTATGCCGGAGAACTCGCTCCTAATTGAGTGTTGAAGCATGGTAGACTCTGAATAACCACCTACCATCAATATTGTTTTTATCTTGCTCACGTTTTCATCTCGAAGTAGAGTTGACACATGACTAATGACTTTTTTAATAGAACATTCGAAAAGACTCTTGAACAGATTGGCTGAAAATTTGATTTTGTCTTCACCAAACTGAATGTCATCAGCGTATTTGGAAGCTTCAATGGCACCCAGCAGTTTTCCTTTAGTGCATCTTTCAAAGATGCGTCCGAACGATATTGGGAATTTCATATTTATGCGAGCATTTTTATCCGGTGCAACTGACCGCTTCTTTACTTCGAAATCACGCCATAGGTCAAGCCAGTCTTCCGTTTCCGTTCGTTTAAAGGTATCATAAACCTCAGGTCCAGCCAGATCAATAAGCAGATTTTCGAAAGCTTTGTCAACAAGCATGCCTCCCCACCCACCACCGCTTGCTGATTGGATTTCTTTAACGCTGTTCTCACTGACAACCTCGTGTACCGTTATGTCTATCGTTCCACCTGAAAAGAAACATCAATACGTTAAAGGAAAACTTAAAAACAGAAAAATAAAGTGGTTAAATTAAATATCTTAAAACAAGTTAGATATCTTGTTACTCAATTATTTATGGTTTTATATCATAAATATAATGCTCAAAATGAAGATTTATCAATATTGTAATTTCCATAAAGCATTTTTTGTAAAAAAAAATGAATGCATACATTTTAATGATAACATATAATGTGGACAAATCTTTGCAGTACATTTTTTACATATTCTTTGATGTTTGGAAATGGATTTTGAAGCATAAGTATATACATAAATGAAATTTCACTGAAGTGTGGTAAAAACCTTAATTACAACATACAGCTATTTTGATGGTAAAAAAGGATTCTTTGACCAACACACTCTGCGTTTTAACTAGGATAGTTAGTGCCTATTTCGTAAAATTATTATGATTTCCCTAAGTTCTCAAAAATAAGCATGGACCTGGACGCAAACTGTTTGGGCACATAGAGAAATTTAAGAAACAAGAGCCGGTTGAACCGGGTGATGTTCCCAGACTAGGATTTGGACATAGAAAAGTATATCTTTTGTAGTTTCAGAGTTATGTCCAAGACAAAGTTCAAAGTGTAATAATTCCAACTTAGGCAATGCAGAATAACTGTTCTTTGCACTGCACTGCACAGGTAGCGACCCAAATGTTGCGCATGACATGTCATTTCAATATGGTGATCAATTCTGTGAAATATCTTCAAATAACGAAGTTTTGGGCTGGACACGACTTTGCTTCAAGGTCATGATGTGACCCTGACCTTCAAGGTAGCAACTCAAATGTTGCGCGCGACACGTCGTCTCAATATGGTGATCATTTCTGTGAAATAGTTGTTAAATCCAACTTCAAATAACGATAACGAAGTTATGGGCCGGACACGATTTTTGTTCAAGGTTATGCTGTGACCTTGACCTTCAAGGTAGCGACCAAATTGTTGCGCACGACACATTGCCTCAATATGGTGATCATTTCTGTGAAATAATTGTGAAATCTGACTTCAAATAATGAACTTATGGGCCGGACACAATTTTGCCGGAAGGTCATGCTGTGACCTTGACCTTCAAGGTAGCGACCAAAATGTTTTGCGCGACACGTCTTCTCAAAATGATGATCATTTCTGTTAAATAGTTGTAAAATCCGACTTCAAATAACAAAGTAATGGGCCGGGCACGAATTCGGGACGTACGTACTACGTACGTACTGACGGACGGACAACCCGACGACTATATGCCCCGAATTTTTCGGGGAGCATAAATAAAACGTCGGGCGCCCCGCGCCCTCCTCATTAGCATGTATTCACCTTAGACCCCGCCGAGCGAAAAGTCAAAAATTAACAAGTTAAAATGGCGTGGGGCGGGGCGAATCACGAATGGCACAAATCAACCACCATAGATTTATGCTACTGTATCAATAGTATGCAAGACTATTTCAAGACTACATAAAAGTAACCAAAGCACACCAATAACATATAATTGTAATGTGATATTAAGTCCTATGGAAAGCCATGGATGTCTTATGTTGTTCTTTTTCAATTAATTGAACCATGTGGTTAATATATAAGTTCACTTCGACCATATATGAATTGAAAAAACACCTTCTTATTAAACCGGAATCCATTATATAAATCCAAAGTACAATAAATGAAACCATGCGCTAGTGTATGAAACAAAGGTAGCTATATATAAATTGATTTTATCAATATATGATACCATGGTACCAAAGTAGCCATATATGGAATCAGATATTCTTATATGAATCCGAATAATGAATATATTAATTCAATTTCAATATACAAAATCAAGTGTACGAAACCAAAGTATCAATATATAAGTTGATTTCACATTATATACATGTAGTACCAATTTTTCGATATATGGTACTAAAGAAACCATGTATTGAACCAGATGTCCTTATATGGAACTGAATTATCGATATATTAATTCATTTTTACGATATATGAAACCATTTAATCAATGTCTGGAACAAGAGTAGCAATATATCAGTTGATTATCACATTAAATGATAGCAATTTTTCACTATATGGAACTAAAGTAGCCATTTATGGAATCAGGTGTCCTTATATGAAAACGATATCAATATATTAATTCATTTTTACAATATATGATTCCATTTTATCAATGTGTTGAACCAAACTATCAATATATAAGTTGATTATAACATTATATGATACCAGATCTTTAATCTATGGATCCAAGTAAGTCATGTATGTAACCAGAGGCCCCTATATGAAACCGAATTATTTATCAATATATTAATTCAATTTGACAATGTATGAAACCATTTTATCGATGTATTGATCCAAAATATCAATTTATAAGTTGATCTACCAGTTCTTCAACATATTGTACCAAAGTAGCAATATATGGAACCAGATGTCTTTATATGAAACCGAATTATCAATATATTAAATCGTTTTTTACAATTTATGAAACCATTTTATCAATGTATCGAACCGAAGTAGCAGTATATCAATTGATTTTCATGTTATATCATACCATGTCACCAGTTTTTATAACTGACTCAGCAGTATATAAGTCGAATTTGACTGTTATGAATCCAAATGTTCAATCTATGATAACAAACTAGCTATGTATGTAACCAAATATCCTTATATGAAAACAATTTATTAATATGTGAGTTTAATTTTACAATATATAAGCATTTAATCAATGTATTGGACTGAAGTTTATATATATATATTGATTTTTACATTATATAACACCACTTTCTCAATATATTGTCATAAGTTGCTAATATATGAATCCAATTCTCCAATATATGGACCAAATGAGCAATGTGTGGAACTAAAATGTCATTATATTGACGGGACTTTCTTTACAGACTGTATTCTATCCTTGCACCGGTAGTACAGTTTTGCGCCAATATTCCTTGTATACTGTCAAAAGACCAGTGTGCTTCACTGATGATATACTGCACATTTTTTAATTAAGAAAATATTTGAATTTAACGTCACAGTCACCTTGGCCTTAAAATGGGCTGGGAAGGCAAAACTTATCATTATAATTATATGTATGTAAAGTTTCAAAGAATAATTGAAGCTTCATATCAGGACTGACCATTAACAAAAACATATTTAAAAAAATAGGTTCATCTCGACCTTTACCATTGATCAAAAATGAGCATGCCCCGTAGGACACATCAAGGTTAATCTACTCTCAAAGTTTAAAAATAACTAGTCAAAAAATTGATTTTATAAAAAAAGTGTATGCCTTGTAATAACAGAACCCAGTGGCCTCAGCCTTTGATTTGTTGACTTACAAATAGGCTATTTTTGTTTCATATAATGAAAATTGCTATCATAGAATGTAACATCAACTTATATATTGCTACTTTGGTTCCATACATTAAATAAATGGTTTCATATACATGTATTGTAAAATGAATTAATATATTGATAATTCGGTTCCATATATGGCTACTTTGGTACCATATATTGAACAACTGGTATCATACAATGTCAAAATCAACTCATATATTGCTACTTTGGTTCAATAAATTGATAAATTGGTTTAATAAATTGAAAAAATGAATTAATATATTGATTATTCGGTTCAATATATGGATATCTGGTTGCATATATGGCTGCTTTGGTACCATATATTAAAGAATGTGATAACCAACTTATATATTGTTACTTCGGTTCCATACATTGTTAAATGAATTTATATATTGATAATTCGGTTTCATATCAGGACATCTGGGTCCATATATGGCTTTTTTGGTACCATATATTGAAGAATTGGTATCATATAATGTGATAACCAACTTATATATTTCTACTTTGGTTTCATAAATCGATAAATTGGTTTCATTTATTGTAAAATGAATTTATAATTATATTGATAATTCAGTTTCATATCAGGAAATCTGGTTCCATATATGGCTATTTCGGTACCATATATTGAAAAATTGGTATCATATAATGTGATAACCAACTTATATATTTCTACGTTGGTTTCATGACTTGATAAGTTTTTTTATATATTGAAAAATGAATTGATATATTGACAATGCGGATTCATATAAGATATCTGATTCCATATATGGCTACTTTGGTACCATATATTGAGACAATTAACTTATATATAATTACCTCGGTTTCATACACTGACGGTATGGTTTCATATATTGTAATTGTGGATTAATATAATGGATTCCGGTTAAATAAGAAGATATTTTCAATTCATATAAGAGTATTTAAGAGCATTGCTGGTGACATGTCTGGGATCAGTACTCGTCAGGAAAGCTGCTTTTTGTCTCTTTACGGCAGAAGGGCCCTCATTTTACCTAGAACCTAGTCAGTTTAGGGTATGCCCAGGTATTTTCCGATTATTTTGTAATTTATAAGCGAAATACAATGATCCATTGATCCTTTTCGTTTGTCACAAAATCTTGGCATACATTTTTGTATTTTACATGATCCATCAACCATAAATACGTGTAAAGTGTATAATATTTGAATAAGTCTCGGTTCCGTTTTATAGAAATAAGAAGTACCGGTATCATATGCTAAAACATGGTCGTGTCTCAGATCAATATAAATGACCTATACCTCCTGCATCGAGAACCATGTATCTACATCCAACAGGCATCTTCGCTATTGAAGTGTTTCCACCAGAAATGGCTGTGTGAACCGATAAGTGGCGACAGAATATCGATGCTGTTTCTGGTTCAAGTGCAATCGTCAATTTGTTTGTTACAAGTCCAGCCTGGAAAGAAATATGCATACATAAAAAGTTGAGCTTAAACATATTTGGCGGAGACATATACCCATCCCCAACCAGATCACTTCTATTTGCATAAGTTTATAAAAATTACCCCGCACTTGTACACATATTTTCTTTGTGGTTGAAATTAAGTTGAACTCCAACACACAGTTTAAATCATAAAACAATTTATTGTTCATTTTCCAATCATATTTGTACAATATCCTTGGATAATAAGTATGAAATATTTGAAGCTTGAAATTAGATACAGTAAAAACTCTGAAAACCGGACCCTGTCCGGACTTGACCAAAAGTCCGGTTTTCAGAGGATTCCGGTTTTCAGAGGTTTTATACATTTATTGATAATTATGATGTGCTTGAAAAATGACTTTGTTCAATCATTTTGTATTTACTTTTCAATCTTTTTTTCTAAGTCGTGTTTTAATTTCTTTTTGCAATAAATGTCTTAAGTAATTTGTACCTTAAGAAATGAAGATGTTATAGTAAAAAGACATCATTTACAACATAAATTGTAAGTTAAAGGGGGATAATTCTAAAGAAATGTATGCTAAAGTTATGAATTTTGCCACACATATGTGGGTGATGATAATAAATATATATTTTGAAATAGATACCTTAAGAAATAAGAAAGTTATAGTGAAAAATGATATTATCCAATGAAAGCTTTTGGAATATTAACAAACAGAGTCAATGAAAAAATCTAGTTACAAAATACGTCTTTGAAACATGTATTTGTCAGTGCGACATCGTAATATATCTTCAATATTTGTCACTGCGACATCGTTATATATCTACAATAAAAAATATCTACATACAAGTCTCCATAGGAATTCGAATCCGGGGAAGTGTGCGTGCGTGCGTGTGTGTGTGTTGGTGTGTGTGTTGGTGGGGGTCAAGTTAAAAAAATACAATAAATAATAAAATAACAGAAAAAGTTTCCTGGGTGGTTTCAATTGAAAGTCATATCTGTCCACTGCTTCTGTACAGCATTGATGAAACAACCATGCCATTTCATGAAAAGCGGCAGATAGTCCCACATTAAAAATTAAAGCACAGAAGGCGCTGAATTTGTTTTGGTCTCAGAATGTCAGAAAGGTGAAGGTTGTGAGATTATAAACCAATTTGTTTTTGTATAGTGCCACCAATGCTTTCCAGCGTTTTAATTGTAGTAAATTGGCTATAAGACTAATAATTATTGCAACACTGTTATTCAATTCAATGTTTATTTGACTTGAACAATTTGAAAAATAATGAGTTGCCTTAACTGGGATTTGAACTCCAGACCTCTCGCTTCCTAAGCGAGCGCGCAAACCCTTCGGCCATGGTGAAGTTATATGCTAATGGCCTGAGGAAAACCATATTATTCTAAATAGGGTTTGTAACGGCGCTTACTGTTGTTTAACACAGATGTAAATAATCATGGAGCTTATTATAAGCATGTATATTTATAAAGAATAAAACAATATTAGAAATCTTCGACTTTTAGGGAACTATTTTGCTTGAAAATTAATGCGCCTATCATTTGGCCATCTTTACGCAGTGATCTCCCCTGAACTTTTTGGCGTTAGTGTACATATAAAGGGAAGTAACCGCTTCAAAAAAGCAATTAACAGCATCAGAGTTTGAAATTTCGCTACCATTATTTGTTTGGTCTGACGACCAAAACAAATACAAACGCGTGTACCTTTAACGATAAAATAATGGGCGGAACTAAATAAAATGAAATAATTTTGAAAGGGGATATGAGGTTATGAAGCCTGCATATGACGTCAAAAAATGTCTGTTTTATTACCCTGATTTGTTAAAAATTATAATCATAATAAACAAGAGATAGAACAAAAAACTGTGCAACTTAACGTACAAATAGGTCGTCGCCACAAGATAATATTTTGAGGCCTCAGTGTCACAGTATCATAAGTTGTGGCCTCAAGATAATAAATCGTGGCCACGAGATATTAAGTTATGGCTACAATATAAAAATACTGCAAATGTTAATTCTATGACACCGATAACACAAGTTTTACTTAACATCACTATATATGAGGAGCAAAAAAATCAATAAACATTATTATGAGAAGCAACGTTAGATAGAAAACAAAATTTATACTTCAAGTATTTCATTACACCCTTTCCAATTTCCCACGATAACAAATGTACCATCATAGTGAATCTCATTGTTTGAAATTCAATTCTCAAATGACCACAGACATGTGAGTAAAAAAGCTGAAGGTATCATTTAAGTAAGGCACCAATTTGTATGTTAAATTGAAAGAGGGGAGAATAAAGTAAAAGTAAATTTAACTTATACAAAAATAAAGAGAAGACGAATATAACCTGCACCGCGGCTTCTCTCATAAATTGTTTGGCACCATCTGTCCATATTGCTGGGACAGTCAGTACCCAGTGGACTTCATCTTTCTCGAGAGCGGAGGTTAGTTTATTGTTTACACTCTTCATAATATCTCCTACCAGATAATCGATTGTCATGGCAAAAACGTTTATGGCAACCATCGACTTTCCCATCTCATCTTCTATTGTCATGCCACGGTCCAGTTTCTGTAATATATAACCTTTTTTTCAAAATATCAATTAACAATCTTAAATCTGCTTTTTTTATTACTATATTGTTTTCTATATACTTTTTATAACAAATAATGTCTGGTGTCAGTTTTTTCGCTGACATTTGCTCAAAATTCATCTTAATACTTAAGAGATAGAACATAAAATTGTGCAAGTAAATTCTTTTAAACAACTGAACTTACAAAATAATGTGTCTTGAAAGTTAATTCTCTTTTTGTAACATGTACATAAAAGTACCGGAATGAAAAGTTATGGATACCTAAAGCATTAATGAATTGGAAGAAGTCACATTAAAACAGCAAACATTGACTAGTATCTACCTCACCAAGCTTTTTATTTAGCGCCATTTTAAATCTTCTGAAATAATAGTACTCCTCGTGCATTTCATTGTCTGCAAGCTCCCTGTATTGGTTTTCAGCATCATATCCAAAAGCTTCGAGGGTCTTTCCATCGGACTTTATCAACAAACACGTGGGTGCTTTTTCTGTCACTAGAGTTCCAGATCCTGAGTGCCATTGCTTGACAGACGCTTTAGCAGGATCCACCTGAAAATCATGCAGTAAGGAGAAAGCCCAGCCAGAATATGTTGTGCCGAAGTCTATTGCTCCGACGAGCAAGTCCCTTGTAGCCTAACAAAAACAAGTAAAGGGCGAAATGAGAGAATACGAAATATAAATGATTTGAAATATGTATTTATGTTAAGGTATTTAACGACTTGACACTAATGTTAATTAGCTGAGTTAGATGTAAAATTTATTAAACAACCTAAATAATCAAGAACAGTGGAGAACCTTCGAGAGAATCAATGAGCCCGGAAAACCAGAAAATAAAACACTTATTCATGGAAGAAAGTTTATGACATGAACAACAAAGTGCATTGTTTTAATTTCGATATTAAAATATGATAAACAAGATCGACAAGGAAAAGCGGCGTTCAATGACCGACCCAGTAACAAGCGTCAGTGGCAAGAAGCCTAGGAGGATCCCAAACAAAAATTGGACAGGGCATAAGGCAGATCACGGGCAGGCAAACCACTACATAAGAATAAATAATTAAGGAACTAAAAGAAAACAAATAAATGATTGAATATTAGGCCCATAAAGTCAAAATGCACACGGGAAGGGGACATGAGACCCGGGGAAGGGGGGGGATAAATAAAAACTAGGGGCAAAGGGGAAGATCCTTACCGTAGACGAGAAACAACAAGAGACACAAAAGTGTCACCATAACAGTATAAAACAACATAGACATACATCTGAGGAACATAGAGGGGCGCTGCCTTGGAACGGTCAGCAGCATAAATACTGCTTGGGAGTTTAAACCGGTTAATGGTGCACCAAACCTCGCTCTTAGCCCCACCATGTTCCTATAAACAAGACAGTGTAATTAAAATGAATCCAACGCCAAGTGAAATTCTAACAGTTGTTATGGTTACAAAAGGTTAAATAAGTAAAACACCAATATGATCATGTAGAAACATATAAAAGTAAACCCAATGACCATAGCAAAAGTACTCGATATCTTAAAGGAAGACAGAGCAACAAGAAAATCACCTTCAAGGGCCCGACGAAGCAAGACAGAAGACAAACATTAAGGCAATTCAGTCCAAAAGGGCTTTAAGAACTGTCCATCATAGAGTATCCCACTTGGTCCGTCAGATGTAATCAAAAGAGGAAAGCGTAGTGTCCAACTGTAAATGGGTTGAACACTAAGCATGCGATATGTCTTAAAATAGTAGGGTCATAACCCCTTTTAATAAAACGTTTAATAATTTTAGTAAACACAACAGAAAAATTACAATGACCCAAGATCTTACGAAGTTTGTAAACAACATCCCGTAAAAACAGGCTGGCTAATCCCTTGTCGCAGAAGTTTTGAAATAAAATCAAAGTTACGATTGTAAAATTTTGTAAAATATTTACGTAATTTAAAATAGCGGTAGCCCTGTTTTAGTAGCTTACCGGTAATGAAAATATTTCGCTCGTTAAAAAACGTAATCCATAAAGAACGCCAAACGGCAAAATTGATTTGTTGCAGCTCTGTTTGATTCAGCCAGTTCATGGTAGTGGAAAGCGGAAGCTTCCGTCGACGCCTCTAGCACTGGCTTAAGCAGAATCAATATGAAAACATGAAGTCAACAAAAAAATTAAATAATTAATCAAACATTAGGATTTTGATATAGTTTGTTTAAAACACATACCATGACAAATGGCCTTCTTATTCGCAGTTTCACTTCTCAAAGCCGCTTTAAAATCTAACTTTAAAATCGAAACGGTCGGACCAGGATGATAATTATCATAACAATTTTCCATGAGATAAGTTATCACACGTTATCAAGTCATGGTGTTCAGTGTAAAATTTAATCTTTACAAGTATTAAATACCACAATCAGATTTGTTATCAGCTGAAACCTACATGCTGTGGTCTTGTGTTGCTTGTTTTTGTGGGGAGCATGCGTTTATTGAGTGTCGCCCTCCATCTCACATATTGTAACTTCATTGTATTGGTGTACAAAAAGCTATTACTAAACAACAGCCGGTTGAACCAGGTCATGCTCCCCGAATAGGTTTTGGACACAGAAAAGTAAACCTCTTGTAGTTTCAGAGTTATGTCCCGGAAAAAGTTCAAAGTGCAATGATTCAAAACTTAGGCAAGACAGAGTTACTGCTCATTTTCCCAATAAGATCTATGTACCTACAATGTATCTTGCTCATATCTATATCTTTCGAACTGCACATTTACCCAATGAGATCTTTCTACTTATAAAGTTTCATGTTGATATTTCTTATAGTTTCAGAGTTATGTCCCGGACACAGTTCAAAATGTAAAGAAGAACAAAGGGCAATAACTCAAAATTTAGGCAAGGCAGGGTTACATTTTTTGCACTGCACTTTTACCTAATGAGATCTATCTACCTTTAGTTTTTGTTGTTGATATCTTTTATAGTTGTAGAGTTATGTCCCCGACAAATTTAAAAGTATAAAAAACGAAGGGCAATAACTCCTTAATTAGGCAAGGCAGAGTTACGGTTTTTGTACACTGCACATCTACCCAATAAGGTCTATCTACCTACAAAGTTTCATGTTGATTCTTCTTGTTGTTTCAGAGTTATGTCCGTGTCAAGAAAAGTAAAGTGGAAGACGGACGGACAGACGGACGGCCGGACAAAGCGGCGAGTCTATGGTCATCTTTTGGGGAGCATAAAAAAGCAGGAAACGTATCTAACATTTTTTATGCTACGTTGTTCTACCTTGTTATATTAAGTTAATCTATTAAACTTCTGGTGGTTTAAGTTCTGAAAATTCCATATGTGTGTGTGTGTTCGTGTGTGTGTATGTGCGTGCGTGCACGCGTCTGTGTTTGTGTGTGTGTGTGTGTGCGTGTTTGCATTTGCATTTGGAGGGGGTTCCATCCGCCCTTCCAGAAATCGAGAGTAAAGGCAAAAAGGACTGAAGCCCGTACCTCCCCAAGACACCCTGGCCTTCGGCACACAAAGGGTAAAATATTTGCATAAACTGTCTAAATCCTTGTTAATTGGAGCCTGAACCACTGCTGAGCTTCATGTCATAAAATTCATTCCGTCAAAACAATGCATGCCTTGAGGCAAATAGCCGTCATCATGTTCAGGGTAGATTGGTCAGTGTACAGGCAATCACAACTTTCGGCCCTTTCCGTCAGAGCTCAAACACAATAGTATAAATACACAGAACGGATACGATATTTAGGTCTAATCTACGCTAAAAAACTAAACATGTAAACAAACAGTGATTTAATAGTTGTAGTTGTTGACTTTGTTTATTTTAATTTATTAAGTAAAAGTCCATATTAATTAAGTAAATTTATAGATATAAAAGTAAACTGTACAAAATTTATGTTGTTTTTATTATGATTGTATCAATTAAAAGTACAAAATGTCTACTGGTTGACATATATTCGTATTTATTGATATTTCTACATCAGTGGGCATTTTTAAATTGGTTATGATTGTCAGACATATTTTCAATCATAATTTTATGGAAATATACCTTATTTACCTATGTATGTCAAAATAGACATTCGTTACATATTATCAAAGATTACACGCTCTGGTTTTGTTTACATCTAAAACCACGTGGTAGAACTACTTTCAATCCGTATTGTGTCCGAGGTCATTATGTATAATAGCCGAGGATGTTCCTATTGGTGTTCAGGTGGATTAAAGTCTGCATAATACTGAGTAAATTGAACGCTGTTGTCTAAACAAAGAATATGTTGAGTCTTTTTTCTATAGCAATCGGAACAACTCGGCTATTATTCATGAAAACGTTGGACTAAATACAGATCGAAAGTAGTTCTTCCACGTGGCTTTAGATGGATGTAAACAAGAACAGAGAGTGCAATCTTTGATAATGTATAACGAATGTACACATTTGACACCCATAACAAAGGTAAAATTATGATAGATTATGTCTGACCATCATAATCAATTTGAAATGCCCACTGATGTACAATTATAAACAAATCCGAATTAATGTCAACAGGTAGACATTTTTTCCACGTTCAGTATCTACAACCATAATAATAAATATGCAAAGTATGTTTTGTTTAATTTAATTTCATACCTATAAATTCACTTAATTAAGGTGGACTTTTAGTCGATATATTGGAATAAACTTAGTCAGCAACTCCCAGCATTAAATTACTACTTGTTTACATGTTTATTTTCTTAGCGTAGGTTAGACCGAAATACCGCATCCTTTTCGCAGGATGAGCGATTTTTTTACGGACGCTGGATAGGTCTCGTCACGACAAGATGCATCGAACGAAATTAAATGCTGTATTGATTTCGACAGAAAATACCGAAAAGCTCATTGAAGAACCCACAACTGTAAGTACATTTGGTTTTCGGTTACAAAAGAGATGAAAAAAAAAAAAAAAACAATAAACGGTATTTAATGTATCTTCCCTTTTCTTTTTACCTTACTCTAACTATAACTGGTAAAATAGAAATATCCCTCTTGAATGTCATGATGATGTTTTAACCGCAGATATTCAGCTAGTACCTAGATTACTTTAAATATCTGGAAAAAAGGTGTAATCCCTTGGAAGCATTAATCACAACAAAATTTAAAAAAAAACACATGAAAATTGCAGACTCGATTTCATTGAGTCTATACATGATTGACAATGAAAAAGTGCAACATTCCTCACGTCCCTTAAATGGTACTCAATTTTCAACACATTAAAGTGTTGGAATCTTTAATCTTTTTGATATTATACGAAATACGGGAGCATAAGTGATTTAAATGTTTAACCAATAAGCATTTTTAATCATCTCTTTATTTTTAGGGTTTATGTTATACATGTATATTATCAGGGTTTTTTGCCTTGCATTACTGGCCTCTTCTATTACAATCATATTTTTTCCCTTAGAATTCAGTTATCATTTTTTTTTACAAAAATAACGAGTCTATGTATATTTTTCCAAATTTAAAGCGCTCTGCAGTTTTTTGAAGGTTAAATATAAAAAAGTATGTTTATGTTCGTTTCATATTAATTGTCAAATCAAAAATGAAATTTGCCATCGATAAAATCAACAATAGCAAAACTCATCGATACCTTTAAGTTCAGCTCTCTATATGTAAATTTGTAAAGCGGACTATTCGTTTCCCGATCTTCTATTTTTAGAAACAAACGTCACTAACGTGTTATAAATAGTTCCCGAAGAACGGTTTACTGTGATGCAAAAGATTCAATTACTGAAATACTTAGTTTGAAACAACACATAATCGTTTTTCCAACAAAAACATTAAAGCTGAATGCCTCTTTTTAAGGGAAGATTCAAGAACTCCTTACCCTGCATGTGAAAAAATATCATGATTATGAAGCATCATTCATACAAGTATCAAGGGGGTGATACGATGCGCGTGCATTCTCATAGAACACTTAATCAACCGGTATAACGAAGAAAAACGAGTCATGTTCAATGATCAGAATATATTTGAATTTAATTTATTTTGCAAAGAAGATGCCCTTTCTTTTAGTTTAGATATTGAAAATGCCTTGACACAACTCTTCCCTTTCTCATCAGTTGAAGGTTGGTGACGACTTAAAGAATATTCATTGAACACTCTATTTAAAAATTGTCTTTTACAACCATTGTTCTTTTTCATTTGTACGAAAAAATGTCTTAAAACGAACTTTTACAGAAAATAAACATTGTGATACTGCGTACACTCTCAAAAATCAAGATCCTGCGTACACTTTCTTTGAAGCAAGAGAGTAACAAGGGCGAAGCATAGACGTGGCGATATTCGCCTGAATGCAAATTTGTTTTAAGAAAATAAAATTTAAAGTTTTCAAAAATAATGTTTTTAAAAGAGAGAATACAGATATATCACATTTTTACGCAATGTTTTATTTCAATTATCAATAGTAAGATCTTTATTGATACATGCCTGAGCTATGCTTTTGTCACATGAATACTTAGTGACAATTATATATTTGCCAGAACTATCGCTCTGGAGTACAGACCCCAGACATGTCACCAGGCGTGCCCTTAAAAGCTTATTTCGAAGCACAGAGTACATGGTTATTATTTACCTCCATGCAGTTGTCACGGAGTATATATATTGACTGAAAACAACAATAATGTTTGTCTTTTGTTGATTTTGATTGATGTTGAAATTATCAGAATTAAAAAAGTTCATATAAATAATATTATACTAGAAATTCAGAAGTACAAAATATAAATCAAAATGCTATGTTTACAAATAATTTTCTTCTTTTTTGTTATCTCCCTTTGATTTGAAGTGGTGTCAAGTCAGTCTGCATATCTGTGCATGTTATCATCGGTTGAATATATACCTTGGGTAATCACGCTCGTTGCACTTTGAGACTAGAGTGTAGTTTAACTTCTCATTGTAGAAAATAGGTTTTTATTGATGGCAACCTCTGACTACTTTATTTGGAGGTTTCCAGATAACATCACATTATCTTTTTATAGATTCAGTAATGTTGGGGACAACTATATCATTATTTTTCAGCGCTTTATATCCTTATTTATATATTGTATTTACATTTTTGTTGAATTTTGATTGGAATACCCATCACTGTACTAAGACATATAACTGTGCTGTAACTTGGATTTTTACTAACTTAGTAATCTCCCTTTGTAAACTTTGTAAAGCACCGAGGCTGACCGGTAATAGCTTTTGCTTTGATAGAATGGTTTGTTTTATGAAGTCTTTTTTTTTGTTGAGAATAATGAAATGAATTTTCACTTTATAGATTTGAGATAAGAATGAATGTTAGTGATTGTTTTTTGTTAATTGATGTACTAATATAAAGTGCTAGCATAATGACTGTTAACTATGATTAAACTTGTGTTCACAATTCAGCAATATTCTTATATTGCAATGTCCAGCAGATTGAGTTATAAACATGTATTATATACATATTATTGATACGTAAAATATATATGTATTGGTTACTGTAGTGTAGTTGAAATGGGCATACCAGTAGCTCACTGTATTTGCAGATGCTCTTAGTTAAGCAGTTACTTTATATTTTTTATAAATGAATCATCAGGATCTATAAATTTACTACAGGATACCTAAGAATGTCTGTTGACCAGTAAACTGCTGGAAGTTAAAGTGTTGAATTTGCTGCCAACCGTATAGAGCCTGGCCAGCCCACACATTCATGCTATGTACTGATAGTACTCGATTTTGTGTATTTAGATATTGAAATCTCTTAAACTGAGTTAATGAACTGTTCCAAAATCCGAGCAAGAGTTAATTTGCTTACACAAATTCAGCTGGTTTTTAAAAGCAATATTTTTTAAGAAAATGCACCATAAATGTATTTTCTTTTAAAAAAACAAATTTGGAATGGGTTTATTGTGTTTTATAAACACCTTGTATTTTAATAAATGTTTTGGATACTGTTTGTATTTTAACATATTGCATGTGCTGGTTAAAGACCTATCTGTCATTTAATGAAATCAATTCACGTTAGACTATATCTATTTAAAAAATGCTTGTTCGGGTTATCATATCTGTGTCTTTTTTGTATTTGATAATAAAATGTATATTTTTGAAATATTATTTTTACAACTGAATCATTCCAACAAACACTGCGTTAGAGAGTTTGAGAATTATACCATATTTGTTACAATAAACATTTGTAAACTGTTTGTTTACAGTTATTTCTTTTTATTTTTGAAGACCTGTGAGTTATTAGGATGTAAATTTTATTGCAGAATGTGTCCTTCGATTGCAAAACATGAAATCTTTATTAATTTATTGGCATCAGGAATACTGCCTAGTTATATCGTTAAGTTAACACACATATATGTTCTGCGTGCCACGTGTGAAATTTAAGTTTGCAGTCGTCATGTGATGTAAAGACACACACCCATCAGGATTGAAATTTATGGAGAAAATAGATCATTTATCTTGAAATTTACTAGGATTTGCTTACATTCACCATTGAAAGAGTGGTACAATTACGCACGTGACGCAAAATGTGGCCTCCCAATACCGGACTGAAGCACTTTTTGTGAATTTTGTTTTACGACGCACTAAGACTGTAAAGGTCATGAGAAGATTTTCCAACTTTACTGGTGAAGGAAGACATCGAGTGCCCTTCCGTGCATTTTTTTTTCAGACAGGAACAGACACTTGATTAAAACTATCGATGTTCAGTAATCTAACTGGCTTGCTTCCTCACATGAAATAATTCAAAATCCCAGGTAGTGCTGATAATATGTTTCCTGTGACCATTCCGTCATTTTTTTCACATAATTTATTCATATTTTTCAATTTTAAAGTATTAATTCACTCGTTTTGATATAAACAAAACTTTTTATTACAACAGTTAAAGGTATGAAACACAACAACAGAAGCAGAAGAATGTTTCATCTCGGTATTTAGACTATGTTTTTTCGAAACTGTAAACGTTTACGTGAGTGATTGTTGTCAAATCATCCGACATTTCCTTTTTTGCGGTTCTTTCATAGAGGGTTTTAAATACAAATATAATTTGAATATTTAATACAGTACACTGCATGCCCGATTGTATTCAATAAGAATATATTTTGTTGGAAATTTGCAGGTTTGCATTTATGTGTCTCATTTCTAAGCGTTATAGAGACATAGAATAAACAGGAAAAAAAACGTTAAGAAAAAGCTATATATGTGTCCATAATTTATGTTTGCTGTACACCGAACCTATTCAGGACCATCTTGTGCTTTCGAGGTGCTTGGATCTGCATTCCTATTAACTACAACCTGTGGTTGCGGACGCGTCGTGTCCGGTTCGGACTTGCCCACTTTGGGACTCGGTCGCGGAGATTCCACCTTGCCGTCCTCTTTGTCAGCACTTGTGTCGGAGCAAACACACGCTATAAACTCTGAAATAGAAATACATTAATCTATTTTTGTACTTCTTTCAATATTCTCATTAGCAGTATTACTGCCACTAATTGGGCAATTATAGCATCGTTAGTGCTTTTAACAAGTGAAATTATCGCCGTAAATGATTCACCGATATAAAAAACAATGGCTAAAAACAAAAATTACATATTAATTTTCTGAATTGAAGGAGCAAACATCCCTTTAAACGGTCACTAGATAGCTACAAAATGATATTGGTTTGCTGCATCATATTGTGCATAGTGCCCGGGCTAGGTCATCATATTGTGCATTGTGCCCGGCTAGGTCATCATATTGTGCATGGTGCCCGGCTAGGTCATCATATTGTGCATGGTGCCCGGCTACGTCATCATATCGTGCATGGTGCCCGGCTACGTCATCATATCGTGCATGGTGCCCGCTACGTCATCATATCGTGCATGGTGCCCGGCTATGTCATCATATTGTGCATGGTGCCCGGCTACGTCATCATATTGTGCATGGTGCCCAGCTTCGTCATCATATCGTGCATGGTGCCCGGCTACGTCATCATATCGTGCATGGTGCCCGGCTACGTCATCATATCGTGCATGGTGCCCGGCTACGTCATCATATCGTGCATGGTGCCCGGCTAGGTCATCATATCGTGCATGGTGCCCGGCTAGGTCATCATATCGTGCATGGTGCCCGGCTAGGTCATCAATATTGTGCATTGTGCCCGGCTAGGTCATCATATTGTGCATGGTGCCCGGCTAGGTCATCATATTGTGCATGGTGCCCGGCTAGGTCATCATATTGTGCATTGTGCCCGGCTAGGTCATCATATTGTGCATGGTGCCCGGGCTAGGTCATCATATTGTGCATTGTGCCGGGCTAGGTCATCCATATTGTGCATGGTGCCCGGCTAGGTCATCATATTGTGCATGGTGCCCGGCTAGGTCATCATATTGTGCATGGTGCCCGGCTAGGTCATCATATTGTGCATGGTGCCCGGCTAGGTCATCATATTGTGCATGGTGCCCGGCTAGGTCATCATATTGTGCATGGTGCCCGGCTAGGTCATCATATTGTGCATGGTGCCCGGCTAGGTCATCATATTGTGCATTGTGCCCGGGCTAGGTCATCATATTGTGCATGGTGCCCGGCTAGGTCATCATATTGTGCATGGTGCCCGGCTAGGTCATCATATTGTGCATGGTGCCCAGCCAGGTCATGATATTGTGCATGGTGCCCAGCTAGGTCATGATACTGTGCATGGTGCCTAGCTAGGTCATGATATTGTGCATGGTGCCCGGCTACGCCATGAAAGGTAGAGATAACGAGTGACTGTGTAACCGTTATCTCTACCAACAGTCATGCAAAAGTAAACATGCCTGCATTTTTGGTTTACGTAAGAATTTATAAATGGCCCAAACTCAACATGTTTTCGGTAAAGTTGATAGCAAGCATTAAAGTGGTGATAATTGAGCCGCGTTGCGACAAAACCAACGTAATGCGTTATCCAGACCAGCCTGCGCTTCCGCGCAGTCTGATCAGGATCCATGCTGTTCGCTTACAAACCCTATTACAAGTAGAGAAACTGATAGCGAACAGCATGGGTCCTGATCAGACTGCGCGGATGCGCAGGCTGGTCCGGATCCATGCTGGTTGCAACCGCATTACGTTGGTTTTGTCGTGAAGCGGCTAATATATATTTTAAAATAGTTTATATACCGTCATAATCTATTCTGCCGTCACCGTCAATGTCCACCTCGGCAATCATTTCATCGACTGTGAAATGGAAATAAAAGTTATGCTATGTTAAAAATCTGGAAATGTGATCCCTCGGAAGCATTAATCACAACAAAATTACATAAGAATTGCAGACTCGGTTTGATTGAGTCTGTACATGAGGGATCATAAATAAGTGCAACATCCCTCACGCCCCCTAGCACTGGCTTGAGCGGTACTGAATTCTCAACACTTAATAGTGCTGGCATCAATGATCCCGAAGGACCAGGTAAATATAACAACACTGAAGTGAAGTACGGGGCAACTTTTACAGCTGCCACACGGCACTTGACACCTGCTGTTGTGAAGTATAAAAATCTGGAAACAAAGTGATCCCTCGGAAGCATTAATCACATTAAAATTACATAAGAATTGCAGACTCGGTTTGATTGAGTCTGTACATGAGGGATCTTGAATAAGTGCAACATCTTTCATGCCCCCTAACACTCATTTTTTAACAGATATTAATATAGGATAATTTATCTCTTTTTGAGATTCCGTAAAACGGTATTGTACGGCCGGGCATACAAACATATAGCGATGTTGTTACACCCTCAATGAAAAAATGATTCTACGTTACTTTTTGGGTATATGATAAGTGGACTATTATTTTCGTCTAGCTTCATTACTAAATTTCCTGTACTCGCCAGAGGCTCGCATAATATGATTTTATTCATTTTTTTTCTCAATAAATTCGGTATTGAACTCCCATTCATTCATTATCCTTTATTATATAGTTATCACTATTCAACCAGGAACAGTATATAATAAAAATTGCAATGTAATTAGTATATCACTAATTCGCGAATATCATAAAGGGTAGTTTTTATATGTCGCGTCATTTTGTTTCAATCCAATTTGCATCATACAGTCTTAGAATTGTTCATCGGAATTTAATTTAAGTATATGGAATCAAATCAAGTTTTCCAGACGCCGTTTTGATTGATTGTATCATGTGCTGCAGAACAATAGAAGTTTAGACGCCAAAAAATGCGAATGATTTATTTTGACGCCAAACAATAAATGCGATGGATTTATTATACAGTGAAATTACTCGTTCAATTGTCACATCCTTTTGAAAATAAAGTCTTATTCGTTTTTACTGAAAATATATAACTTTTAAATTATGAAGATGATTTAAATAATAATTTAAATCTAAATTAGATCCAAACTAAGTTAATTTTCTGGTAGCAGCGCAGTAAAGATCGAATTTGCGTTAATTTGGAACTCCAACAATTTCAATTTAACGATTTCTGAATCCAGGATTTAGCGACACAAACAGGAACGTAAGGAGTTTTCTTCAATATTTTCCTTCGAGTTTCCACACAAGGACGCGGATTTCATCAATTTAATTGTATTCTTTAACTACGTCGACTTTAAAGCCCCAGACAACGATATATTCATCACAAACACGGAGGTACATAATACTTAAATGTACATTTGAACCCGGTGACCATGAGAGCTTACGGAAATATCCGAAAAAGAACGACTGACATAATATATGTTCTATCAAATACAACAATATACACATAGGAAGTACTCATGGTTCCTTATTAAAATTCGCAAATTTTGTCCACAAGAATGATGCACGTACGTACGTGCGCACGTACAAACTCTAAATGAATAAATTCTATCCTTTTACATTAAGAATTGTCGCCCCTTGTCCCCTACTGCGACAGGAACGCAACCGTCTGAAGTTGTTATTAATGTAGGTAAAAATTAGCAAGATAATCAAAACATATTGTTTCTTAATAATTACAAAATGAAAAACAATATTCATTATAAACGAAACCGTGAAATGCCTTACTTTCTTCTTCTGTCAGATCTTCCCCTAGACATTGTAGAATTGCTCGGATATCCGAAGCACATATGTAGCCACACCCAGATTTGTCAAAAACCTGCAAATACAAAAATTGAGAAGGCTACATACATTTATATAATAGCCCGGTTTCTTTTTGCCCCGCCAGTTCTCCCAAAAATTCATTAATTATATTAACACGCCTTAAAAATTGTAAACAATGTCTCAATGTTTTAGATTATAAAATAGGTTTCAATTCGATCCGTTAAATTTGATAAGAACTTTTATTAACTGTATGTTTTTTTCTCTACCTTTACACCCCTTTTTTGCAAACATATAAATTAAAAGTTTGTGTTTGCCATGGCAAATTGCACTTTACCATTGAGTTTCGGTGTTTTGCCATGACTAAGGTTTTCTTGATTATGCCATGGCAAACTTGAAACTTTATTTTTATAAAGTATTTAAGGAGTCATTGTTATGTTTTTTAATTGAAAACTCTAATTTTTCTTATTTTGCAATGATAAATTAATGTATGCAAAGATCATTGCAACACATTCTTTTTGCCATGGACACTTGCCATGGCAATAACTAGTATATGTAAATGAGGCGCAAATGTTCAAAATGTTTATTTTCAGACTTAACTTCACAACAGCAGGTGCCAAGTGTCGCGCGGCAGCCGTAAAAATGCCCCGTACTTCACTTCAGTATTGTTATATTTACCTAGTCCTTCGGGCTCTTTTAGGTACCGCTTGGAGGCGTGTAGGATGTTGTGCGTTTTTAATATCCCTCATGTACAAACTCAACTAAACCGAGTCTGTTTTTTTTTTCTTGTAAATTTGTTGTGATTTATACTCCCAAGGGATCACCTTACCCGGATTGTTATGCCGGCTAATGTTTGTAGGGAACGGGGGCAGATTTTCCGGATTCATTTATATAACAATGGCTTAACTTAATTGGTGAATATGTCATGTTTCCTATTATCTCTACTTTGACATTATACATTACAGGTAAAATCAGATCTTTCCTTACAATAAAAATCCAATCTTTTCCCGAAATCCTGGTGTCTTTTCGTTTCACAGTAAACACATTTAATTTAAACACTATACAAGCATGGGCATTTCGAGACATTTTTATACAAAATTATTGACATATTTTTTCTAATACGTTTTCAAATATGCAGATTCAGCGCGTATATTTCGTGCCTCACAATGATCAAAGAAAATATTTTTAATGTTAAGATGCAATATTGCACGTATATTTTGTGTCTTACAGTAAAAGCTTGTCTCAACTCTTTCTCTTCGTCCTCCTCAGATTGTTCACTAAGTCCGCCCATGTTAGCCATCACTTGTACAGTAGGGTGAACGTTTCGGTTGTCAAAAATAGCGTTTTTCGTGCGTCCGTTTTTCGTGTAACGTGCGTGCGTATAGCGTGCAACGTGCGTTTGCTGAAACGCTTTCTCAAGCGTGCATCGTTTTCAAGCGTTTAACGTTTTTCGTTTTCCGTGTATCGTTTTTCGTTTATCGTGCGTCTGAAAGCGTGCGTTTCTTATTTAGCGTGCGTCTGCGTTCGTCTAAGCGCTTTTAAAAAGTACCGTGTTATGCGTCTGTTACTATTCAGAAGTAAAAGAATATCTTAGATAGATATATTATGTACATTTCTTGTTTCTTAAACATGTAAGAGATGTTCTGTGTCCCTGTCAAAGAATAGAAATATTATATAAAGAAGTATTATTGTGATGTTTACATTAACGTTTTAAAGTTTGTGACCTCGCGGTGAATACTGATCAGATTACTACATGCTTTACGCCGAAGATAAAGGGCCTGTCTAAAACGCGGACGCCTTAAGCGGACAATATAAACATATAGGGAAAACGCTGACAATATAGACAAAGAGGAAAAAAGCGGACGATATAGATATATAGTGTAGACTAATTGGTGATGATTTTGGGCATTGATGAAGTTTAGTAAAATGACGTGTAATTGGATTTATACTTTAATATATAAAAAATATAATAAATTAGCAAATTGGGAGAAATATTAAAGTAATTTATGATTGAATGTCAATGAATTTTATTTTATAATTATATGACACATTTTCGGAATTTCTTAATATTGAAAACTAATATATGAAACAAATGGATCAAATGAATGTCCTTAGAATTACAATGAAGGTACTAAATTGGCAACAGCTGATATGTAATTAAGGATATGTATTTCATTTTGGCATTTTTGTATGCCTTTATGTGCAGTAGGCGGACAAAATTTTTGTTCGCAAAATAAAAAAAAGCCTTGATTTTTCAAAATCAAAAGTTTGTAAGAGTAATTTTTAATCATAAATTATTGATATAAATAAGTAATGACGGGCTGTTGTTTTTTATTGATACAATATGAGCAGAAGCGTGCCGCAGATTAACGGTAATTATATAAGTGTGAACAACACGCTACTGATTAATCGTGTCGGCACTTAGCTAGAGATAACATGATACGCATTTTGCGGACAATATAGATATATAGGGAAAACGCTGACGATATAGATATAGAGGAAAAAAGCGGACGGTATAGATATTTAGAGTAGACGTATACTCTTGTGACGGACACGTGTTGCAAATTAACGACAATTAAGTGTCAACAACATGCTACCTGATTGAACATGTCCGCTCTTTGCCCTATTTTTGCGGACAATATAAATAAATAGAGAAAAAGCGGACGATATAGATATAGAGGAAAAAAGCGGGCGCTATAGATAGAGTGTAGAATGATGTGTGAGATAAAATTATAATAAAATAGATAATGATAATGTATAGTAATATTGTGAAGTAATAAAAACGAAGATAAAGAATGAACATCATTGCAATTTTATTTAAGCAATATAACACATTCGGTACATGAATTTATTTTACACATACAAATAATAATATCAATGTAACAACTCAATATATGTATATAGCTATAAAGAATATAACAATCACATATTTTAACAAAATCCCTTACTTAAGACAACAATATTAAATAGACAATGTATTAAACGTTTATAGGAAAAACGATGGCAATATATACAAAGCGGAAAAAAATGCTGTCCAAAAATATATTACATTTAATTTATAATAAGTATTGTTTTAAAATTATAACTATAATTAAATTAATATTTTTTTTTTAATTAAAAATTATATAATCAAAAAATTGTATGTTTTCAGACTGCAAATAACATTGATCTTAAAGTGAATTTTATTAAATGTAAAGTATATTATAAAAAGTTCGTTTTTCCTTTAAGAACATAAACCACAAAATCAAAGTCATTATCAATGGACAACACATCAATGGGGGCATTAATACAATTTTTATGGAACCATTTATTACATTTATCACATAAAACCATATCATCAAGGCATTCAGGTAAATTACATAGACAATAATTATAAATATTAATAATTGTATCACTATAGTGTTTCCTTTTACTTAAAGTTTTCTTAGTTAATGGAAATTCCGTCATTTCTTTTCGTTCAAAACAATTTAACAAATGTGCACGGATTTTATTGGAATCGTATATAAGATCTGTACAAAGACGTTTACGTAAACAAAAAGAAGTAATAAAAGCAATTGCATATAATCCACAATCTACACTATTATTTTGTTTGATAACATTTGGTACATTAACTGCTATTGATGATTTATTTGATCCATAAAGCTTGAATTAAGTTTCTTATTATTTTTTAAGTTAATTATGTCATTTTCCGTGAGGCCCAAATCTCTGTCCCAGTATTCAATATGCTGTTCTATTGATTCGGTGCTATTGTCTCTTATTTCATAATTGTTTATTTCACTTTCTTCTTTGATTACAGATAAATCGTTTTCCAACTTTGGTAATTTATAGCTCAGTTCATCGGTACACTCTATTTTACGTTTATTTAATTTTTTGCCTGTTGGTGTGTTGTCTAATTTTGGAGTAGAAATATCAAATTTTAAGTTTTTTCGTATTGCACTGTTTTTGGGTGTCATAATTTTGCTTTTTGGAGTCGCATTTACTTTTTCACAAGTGTTTTTTAGAACAGAGTCTGGCGCGGGATTAATTTCAATGTCGGCATCATTGTCTCCAAATCTTCCTTTTTTTTGTACCACACTTTTTGGAATGTTTTGGTCTACAGTTTTTGCGTAATTGTGTTAAGTTAAACACTTTTTTATCGTCCGGAATAGGCATTCCGATTGCTATCATTGCAGCAAGAATATGATAACATCCGGAACTGGCACTGACTGAACAGGTAGCACTGAGTGCACCGCAGACATGATGCTTGAAGCAACCTCTGAAGTCCCGTCGAAACTAAGATGAAGACCATCTTTACTAAGGAGCTGTCGGTTGGCACCTGAAAATGTACAGTAGTGAATTTATATCTATGTTATCAATGGTAGGAATCACATGGCTATGTTGATTTTATATCACTTGCAAGATGTCGATCTGAATTTGTTAATCAGGTATTTGCTTTTTTGATAACTCCCACAAAACATATCAATTGTATGTCCAAGCAAGATACAAAACAAAAAGACATATTATACTTAAAGGCCTCTCGAGCCACATAAAAATTACAATTTTTGTATGTTATTGAAATGAATTTAAATGTTTACTAACCGAACATGGTGTGGAAATATGGTTGTTCAATTATATCAACCCATGGTACTCTCTTAGACATTTCCTTCAGGAAGTGGTTTACCGAGCCAGCGTCGTAGTTCCATTCCTGTAGGAATTTTGTGCCGAGTGCGTGGTCTTTAAACAAATTCTGGGCACGTGGAAGAACCTCGGAAACCAGGACAGTAGCACTGAATTCATAAAGAATTACAAACTTTATTACAAATTATTAGTTTAGAAAATTCAAACTGGGTAAGTTATAAAGATATAAGTGATTATAAATACTTGTCTTTTCATTATTTACAGGTAATGTGCGATTAATGACTTAATGACTTAATTTTCAATTCTTCTCGCCATTTGCTGATATTAAATTATATTTACAGACAATAACAGAAGCAGTACTTGGTTTATAATAACCATTAGACGGAAATAAAGAATTCAAGTTTCTTTCTTTGAGTTTTAATCTTTTACCTTTCTTACATACAACTATTGTTATATCAATTTTCCGAGTTAACAATTTTATCAAATTTATCAGTTAACATCTGAAATATATACCTTGGTGAGCTTTGATGAATTTTACGACACAATTGTTCTATATCTTTGGCAATACACAATGGTGATCTATAACCAATGTCGTTGGCTCCAACAACCAGGACCACAGTCTGCAAAAAAATGTTTTTTTTTAATTACTTAATGTAAACGATTTAAATAACATTACAAAACACTGAAATAGAATAGAATAAATTAATTATATACATTGTAGAAGCCAGATGTTTTTTTTATTCATAACAGTTTTCTATTCTCCCGTTCTATACATTTATTTCGTCAGCGTTTTCCTTCTATATCTATATCGTCCGCTTTTTCACTATATGTCTATATTGTCCGCATTTTCTGTAGCCACTTTATTAATTGTACAAGGGTGAGATGTATGATTAATTGAAATATACAAGTGTCGGTGCGTGATTAAGTCAAATACACAGGTGACACGTGGATACTTTAATTAGTTGATTGGTATTTATATCAGACATTTTCTTTATTAACTTAATGGATAAAATATAAATAAAACATAAAAATATTATGAATTAAAGAAAGTTAATTGATATAAATTAATCATATACATTGTAGAAGCCAGATATTTTTTTATTAATAACAGTTTTCTATTCTCCCGTTCTATACATTTATTTCGTCAGCGTTTTCCTTCTATATCTATATCGTCCGCTTTTTCACTATATGTCTATATTGTCCGCATTTTCTGTAGCCACTTTATTAATTGTACAGGGTGAGATGTATGATTAATTGAAATATACAAGTGTCGGTGCGTGATTAAGTCAAATACACAGGTGACACGTGGATACTTTAATTAGTTGATTGGTATTTATATCAGACATTTTCTTTATTAACTTAATGGATAAAATATAAATAAAACATAAAAATATTATGAATTAAAGAAAGTTAATTGATATAAATTAATCATATACATTGTAGAAGCCAGATATTTTTTTATTAATAACAGTTTTCTATTCTCCCGTTCTATACATTTATTTCGTCAGCGTTTTCCTTCTATATCTATATCGTCCGCTTTTTCACTATATGTCTATATTGTCCGCATTTTCTGTAGCCACTTTATTAATTGTACAAGGGTGAGATGTATGATTAATTGAAATATACAAGTGTCGGTGCGTGATTAAGTCAAATACACAGGTGACACGTGGATACTTTAATTAGTTGATTGGTA